ATAAGCATTATTTCCTTGCTTCGTTCCACTTTTTGCCGTGCTTGGAGACAGGATAACAAAGACCTGAAGCTAAATATCTAAAGGAAGATGGGTGGTTGGATGTGCATGTAATCGAGCATTTAAGGACCTTCTATAAGATCACGTGACCTGGCCAACTGCCCTCTTCGATTCGTCCCCACTCATTTACATCTTGCTAAGTTTTTGTTGCTGAACACTGACTTTACAACAGTTTCTAGATGTTCATTTGGGTAGAATTTCGACGTCAATAGATGGTGTTGTTTTTATTTTCTATTACAAACCGGTCCAACTCCGCTTAGAAAGTCCGGACAATGTTTCACTCGTTGCCCGCAATTTCGTCAAGGCGTAGAGTTTTTCCACTCCCCAATTTTCAAAGTTTGGTATCTTTAATAATCTCATACTCTCGTGCCTCATCCTGAGTTACTGCACCGTTCAGCTACGGAAAATTATCTTAAATGAGGTACAGACTTTGCAGAAAAAGGACATGGTTGAAATCTCTGAAAAAGTCAAGATGAATTCTAGAAGCGTAATAGGTATGTATACTTGGTTCCTTTGAAAATTTTTTCTCACACGCTCATTGACGTCTGATGTTCACAGCGGGGGGGGGGTGTTTAATAGATGTCAAATGCGCTACAAGTTTATTATTCATGCTCAGCGTCCTCTGCAGTGGTTTTTTTTTCAAGTGACATTTCCACTTTTTCAAAATATAATTATTTTTTTATTTTTGTTCGATTTCCGATACTGAATCATTAAATCATTATAATGGCTCAATATATTGCTTATATTCATTTATTTATATTTAATTCATTAATTCATTATTACGAGGAAATGTTCTGAAGCTATCACAAGATACGGGGGCATTGTATTGGCAATACATTTTGAACCGCGTACAATATCTCCTTTTCGTTGAAAACAGGGCTAATTTCAGGCATATTAAAGGCACAACCCAGGCAGAGGTCGTGTGAACGCTTCCCTTCGGTCTGTAGTATAGACCCCTAGAGGACAATCACAAATGTGGCGTTCCCGTGCACGGAAACCAACCGACAAGAGCGCTTGGGCCTTGCAAAGTAAGCTGCTGAAGCTGCAGATTTTTTCTCTTATCAGGCTGTTGTCTGGCGCTCTCTCATCTGTAGCGCTCTCTCGCCCATACTCTCCTCTCCGCGCTTAGTCTCTCATTCCCTTAGCACAGCCGATTAGGAAGGTGAGTGAGCCCTTAACCTAAGCGTTTTCGACGGATTCTTTTCCTTTTTTCTTTACTGCCGGCCCATTTCGCACCAATACATTCGCATTCGTGTGCAAGAGCCACACCAATGTGATCCTGGGGCATGCCTTTAAGAAGGCTTTAGAGTGTGTGAGAAGTTATCATTTTGCCTGGAGTTTCTGCCCTTTGCTAGGCTTATTCATGGAGGTTGCCCCCGCCTCTTGTGATAGCGCCGACATTAGTTTCCTCGCAAGCACGTATGCAGTGGTGTGCGGTTGTGTCGAAGAGTTGCGGGGAATCACGACTAATTTCGATGCTCTCAAGAATTCGGTCTCCTATAAGCTAACCTATGAGCCAGAAATTGGTGCGCCAGCTAACGTTAGGTCAAGTGAGCTCAGAAACAGTTCAATCTGCCAAAAAGAGCTTACTGTCAGACTCGACGCCATCGCATACTACTTAATTATTTTCCTTGCCTAAAATGCACTTGCAAATTTCAGTGGAAGATGTCGTCTACAGAGTTTTGTGGAGTTTTATGTTTGATAGAACAAGCGGCTTAATAACGTTACTAGTAGTGCCGCTATTCTCTGTGAGCGTGGCGTGCTGTTGTTGATTGTTTTGTTGTTGAAATTTGTTATGTTGATAAAAATTTACAAAAGAATCTTTGCTCTCTGCAGGAATCCCATTGATTTCGCTTTTAATTCTATCTACCCTATCCTTTGTATCTCCGATCGATTTCTGGACGGTGCTTTTGTGATTGTTAATGCTCTATTGAAAATACTGTTTCTTTGCGCTCTTGCCTTGATAGTTTAATTCTGGCCCGGCTTACAATAGCTGTATTGTAAAGCTTTCATAAATGTTCATACTGATGTGGAAGGTTAGCGATCCAGGAGGAAAAAAAACCCCATGACAAGAGCAACAGGCTTGCTCGGACAAAATACAGACGCGGCTCGCGTTCTTGCAACCGTGGAAAATTCGGATTTCACTGTCCTTATCACGAATAAGACACTAGAGCGTACGTGCGTCTCCTAACGATTACTAAAATCAGAAGACATTAGGTGGGTGTCCCCAAGAGGCCCGTCGCGCGGCGAAGGAAGAGACGCAGACGCGGCAAAGGACGAGTCGCAGCGCATACTGTAGCGGTTAGGCGTCAGGTTAAATAGAGTGTACCATACTACGTCTCATATCGCACAGCACGCGCTGCGACTCGTCCTTCGCCGCGCGACGGGCCTCTTGGGGGACACCCATTAAGGTGTGTCTTTTTTTTACTAACCGATGCTTTTGTGTAGAGCAAGATCCCCGCAGAAACGGTGGAACCCTGGGTGAGTTCGAAATTCGTTTTGCTTATGTTTCTCGGTGGGACTTCCGACGTCGGAACCGCTAGAGGAGATAAGGCGCTTGGTCAACTAGATCGTGAATCACGATCTTAACCTTGAACCGCGTTTAGGCCTCAGAAGACGACGATTTTGTCGAAACGTTAGGACTGATTGAATAAATGTTCCACCTATCAACCTCGAACGGCCGAAAAAATAAAAATCGGAACTAATGAGGAAGGTCTTTCAGGAAATGCCAAGCTTTCTCAAATAAGAAACTAACGAGGAAGGTCTTTCAGGAAATGCCAAGCTTTTCTCAAAACGGTTTTTTGCATGATATAGGGGTACATGCATGGAACACTGAACTATAGTTCATTTTTCCTGAGCGGCCCTTCTGAATACCAAAAGGGGTTATGAAGTGGTCCGTGGTTCGAATCCTCACATGACAATTTTTTTGCATTTTTTTCTTTGGGATTGTTTTGAAACAATCACGGTAAATCGTGGGTGAGCGGTGGTCAATGCTCTCTTCACAGCATTTCCGCCGTAGCGATTCGCAGTGTTCGAAGCTGAAAAATCGTTTCTTACTGCCTTGTTGCGCCTTTCAGATACCTTTTAAAATAATTGCGATTAAGATTACTTGAATTTAGGCGGCACAGTCTCTCATTTGACCCGACAACTTGGTTAGGTGGTAATAAGAAGTGAGATCGTCACGTAAATCACACAGGAAACCACGACCGGCTCGGTCGCATAGAACAAAGGATTCCAACCTCAATTCCAGAAGTGCCACTTGGGCGTTAACTTTGAGAGTTCGTGATGCCGCAGGTGTTTCCGTAACGGAAAGCTCCGCAAACATAGCGCTCCACTGCTTAATTGGGGAACAATAACGTTGCCCAATTTGATCGGTTCACTGGCATGGCCCATGGAAAATCTGGCAAAGTTCACTTTCTCTCTGCAATGCTCGTCCACGAAAGGACCAGGAAAAAAAATTACTCAGGGATAAAGTGCAGTGACTCTTTACGGAACTCGATACTAAACGCTGGTGTGTTCAGCGAACCTGAAATAGACAGGACTACCACCGTGCCAGTACGAAGACAAACCGAGAAGGAGAAGCGCAGTCGATGATGCGCAACACCTCGGAGGGACTTCGGAATCTTAGTTCTCAGAAGCTCGAGAGATTTTGAAAACACGTAACAGTAAGTTACCCATGCCGAAAGAGCAGTGTTTTTGACGAATGTGGTGGTGGTGTATGCATTTGACAAATGTTGACCGTACTAAAGGAAAAAAAAAGTACTGAAAAAAGTTGACAAATGCGCAAAGACTTTACAACCTAATATTATTCAGTTCATGACCATGTGCGAGCTAGTGCCCTTTTGAACGCGCCGGGAAACTTTTATGGCTAAATTATTGAAAGGACACCATTACTATATCGAGTCAATGTAGCTACATATTTACTTACTTGGATACTTGGATGCTCGTTGTCAGCCGATGATCCTCAGCGGCGAGCACACGCTTCCCTCCATTTTTGACGATCTTGAGCGGTTTGGGCCCAGTGTTGGCCCGCATCTTCTTGAAGTTTCTTCAGGGAGTCTCTCCATCGTGTTGCAGGACGGCCAAGTGTGCGCTTCACGTCTCGTGGATACCAGAACGTAACGCGTGTGGTCCACCGATCATCCATGCGTCTGACCACATGTCCGGCCCATCGTTTCTTTGCGTCCCACGTATACACTGCGGCGTCACATAGTCAATAAGAGTTATTCATCAGTTTTTCTGATTGAATATGTAGCTACATATACAATGTGTATATGAAAAAGCTTTGAGAATAAACTCTATTGAGTGCCTAGCAAATAAACTCTTCCGAGTGGACATTAAGCATGAAACGGTCGAGGAAGCTATTTTGTTGTGGCGTATGCTACTACAAAGTAGAGACAGCTCTTCAAGAACTAAATGCGGTAAGAAAGGGGTAGACAAATGTGTACATGCATGTATTATCCAAATTGTGTGGATGCTTGAGGCGATAAGCATTGTAATGGCGTGTGGCACGGTTTACACGCGAGGGCTGCGGATCAATCTTGGATCTACCAAGCATTCATCTCGGGCTAGTCGGTTGTAAATATGGTGACCAAGACTTGTCTGGGAGCACAAAAACGCCTGAGTTGAATAGGGCACGTGCGAAACGGAGACTAAACTAACTCTTTGAGTCCCACCCCCTGAATAAATTTTGAATGAAACACACATAACAATATTGAGATCGAAAAACAAAAACAAAAACAGTTTTAATTTTACAAATAGAAAAGTTTAATCATATATAAAAAGCCAATTTTTTATTGTACATCGGCTCCCACGCCACTGCGAATGTACAAATGGAAGTAGAATGCGTGCCGCATCCCAAAGACGGGATTGATCAACGGCAAATGCTTTATCCTTTTTATCCAAATTTTTTCATTAGATCTCATAGCCTCAATTTTTCAGCGAAATTGTTCTTTCAAGTGAGGTTTCTGCTTAAATTAGTATTGCTCGCGATCTCTGAAGTAATCACCGCCTTCGTTAGCAACTTTGGTCCACGATGTTTGTTTACACGGAAGCGGATCGACGGCCAGGTGAGTGTGCAGAGCTCTCCCTCTGAGCTCCCTCAATGAGCACAGTTTCCAGGTAGTGCTGGTCACTGGATCCGGAAATGGTCTCGGTCGACTAATTGCGCTGAAGTTTGCTAGAACCGGTTGTAAGCTGGTGTTGTGGGACATTGATGAACAAGGCAACGAGGAAACGAGAAGGCAGTGCGAGGATTTGGGTTGTGAGGTGAGCAGGAGAGAAAAAGCACCTCTGTCTCGATTTTTCAAAGGCACGGGATCGAGTTGGCGTGTTATTTTATTCGAAAATTAGGCAAGAAGTGTGATGAGGAACGTAGTGGGAAGAAAAAGCAAAAAGCGCCATAGAAAACACTGAAATTCCCTTGTGAGGTCGGCCGTGGTATGACGGAGAGACACAGCGCTGCGAGGAGAGGGAAAACGCGAGAGAGCACGTCGTACGCGAGAGGGCGCAGACACGTATGTCGCGACTGGAAAGGATTGCAACGTTGGCCGGACAAGGCACTGCCTTTGCACCTTGCCGCTCGTTTTGAGTGTCGACACTGTCGCGCCTCTTTGCGCTTGAGAACCCCTCTCTCTCACTTTGGGATGGACTACTTCTTGGCACCTAATCCCGACCCGTGGCTTTAATGTCACGCTTTGCCTGTTATTTGAGCAAAGTGTGTATAATTAGTTGTACGAATTGCACCTGCCAACAGCCTGCCAAGAGTGGAAGGGAAAAATCAAATGACTGTCGTCGTCATTGTCGGGGGCTATCGCAAGGTACGGGGACATAATGGTGCAGTGCGCATTTGGAACCGCGTGAATATCTCTTTCTTCCTTAGAATTAAGACTGAGCCTTCAAGCGAGAGAGGAGAGACTCCAGAATGCGTGAGCGATTCTCATTTTCATCGAAGTTCCTGTCCCTTCTAGGTGTAGAGGACGCCCACGTATAACCCATTGTCGTTCCGAATTACCACGCATTCGACCTCCTACGTGCAACAGCATCGGGTTGTTCTGCGTGTTCTGCCCTTGATCAGAGATTTGATCCCTTGCTAACAATCAGGGTTTACTGATGTGCTGTCCAGGACTCTTATTCTGGGCAACATAAAACCCAAAAGTTGCTCTGAAAACAAAGATAAGCTAACAGGCAGTCGACAATTTGTAGTTCCTAGACAGCCTGCGTGGGCATGGCGAGGTGAACTGTGGGCCAGTTGGGCCCCGCACTGTTCACCCTTTCCAAAAATATAGCCTGGTCTGGGAAACCACACATTTCTTTCGTTATATCTGATGAACCAATTTCGCATCCTGCCTTCAAAGAATGCGTACAAAACAGGGACCTCACCTTCTTTGCGACAGAACACTTCCAGGCGTACGCCTTCCGGGTGGACGTATCACAAAGGCATGAAATTTACAAAGCAGCGAAACGAGTCATCACCGAGATCGGTTTTGTCGACATCGTCATAAACAATGCCGGGATAATTCGCGATTTTGGCGATTTCCTCTCCAAATCTGATGATTCGATCGAGAAAACAATTCAAGTGAACATGCTCTCACATTTTTGGGTAAGTTAAGAAAATAAGACATGTAATATATTTGATCCACTATTTTGTTGATCAGTTCAGATGGCGAAGGCATTTCTTCCTGAAATGATTGAACGAGACACCGGACACATTGTCTGCGTTTGTTCTTTGGCAGGAATTGTTGGAGCCAGGGGTGAGTCATTAGACTCCACAAATTCGCTACAGTTACAGAACTCGTCCCAAAATTTCAAAAATTCACGAGAAGACGCGAATTCGTCTTATTTTTTATAAGTCGGTTTGTGGCGGGTATTCTGGAAAAACAGCGTCTAACTTAAAGGCAAACTCCGGGACAAAACGAGGGACCCTGGTCGAGTAGGAAGAGCCTGGGTGCTGAGTTGATGAAAGAGTACATGGAAAAAAATACAGGAAATATCTCCAAAGAACTACCAAGTTAGAAAACCCTCTTCGTTAGTCGCTCACGAACCAGTGCTGGAAATACGTGTTTGGACATGTCTACAGCAACTGTTGGCTTTGTGCCATCAACCGACACGGACCACAAAAGTCAGCAATGAAAACTGATTTTTCTAGTTTCCCTATTTTTTCTATTTTCCTGTGCTTTTTTTGTTTGCTTCCTATCTTAAAATTTTTTCTTCTCACTAGAATGATGACAACGTTCTCCAAAATGTCGTAAGATAGGCTTTGATGTCGATTTTCGCAATTGAAATCCGCTAAATACTCCCCTACGACTTTCCAAACAACGGCTTAACATCTAGCGTTCCAGGTGGTTGTTTGGAAGATCACGTAGGACGGTGGGCGGGCTCAATGGGCTTGGGGCGGCGCAATGCTCCAACCTAGGCTTAGCGACCGCTAGAGCTGTAATCGTACTTGCGGTTTGGGAGGGGTCGTGTGGGTCTGATTCGATGGCTGATGTTGGTTTTGTACTTCTTAGGCAATGAATCACTCATACCCAGCTTGATGTGGTCTCTCAGGATGGTTTTCCAGATAGTGCGAATTCCGTGACAGACAAACGACATTAAGAGAGACAGACCGACAGACTGACAGACAGACAGACAGTTTTGCGTTATAGTATGTGGTAAAAAGAATGAATAACTCATTGAAGCTTTCCAGAAGGACTTTGAACCGTCTATACGGCTTGATGAGCTGGGTTCAGCGCTGCGTTCAGCTTTCAGAATACTAGGCTATGAACGAACTACTAAATTTGCGTTTAGCATGAATTTTTGAAGTTTTGGCGCGAATACTGTAATCTCCAGCCCTTGCGCTAAGCGTTGCAAGGATCTGATCCTGTCTTTGAAATTTTTAGACAGTGGTTGAAGCTGAAATTTTTGAATTTTAGATCTCGTGGACTACACTGCGTCGAAATTCGGTGCCTTCGGATTTCAGGTAATGAATGTGACCATACTCTCTTTATCAAGGCTATTTTCGCGCTCATCAAATGTAGATTTATGTCATTAAGGCAGCAGGCTGTCCAAAGATTGTGAAGGTTTCACTGAGGAAATTTTGAGCGTCGGGTTTGGCCTCCGCAGGGTTTTGGAGTCATCGTCCAGGGTACGTTTCCAAAAGGGTTGTGTAAAATAACAGAAGGAGAATAATACTCTCGAAGGTTCTCTTCTATTAGGCCGATGTCAGACTTTGCGAATCGCGCGATTCGCTAGCGTCTGCGGTCGCGTCGCGGCCAGTGAATCACTCAATTGGCTGGTACCGCAACGCGACCGCGGACGCTAGCGAATCGCGCGATTCGCAAAGTCTGACATCGGCCTTATGATCCCCTCCCCCCCCCTTGCCGCTCAAAGGGATGTTTGGGGAAGTACAAGGAGCTGGAATATACGAAGCAGATAGACGAAATTAGATTAGTGTTGCAATTTGAAAATTTTCCTCATCGCTATGTCTGATCCAACAAAAAAAACCATCCTTCCTGTGAATCAACCCTGGCTGTTCTACAGGAAGCTCTGGAGAATGAAACGTATTCGAGAAGGAAACGGAATATCCAATTCACCACAATTTGTCCATCTTTCATTCAAACCGGAATGTTCACCGACATTGCGTGAGTCAATCGTCCATTTAACAATTGAACTATTTTATCGAAATTTTATGCAAAGAAGTTGTTACGTGACCCTTTGAGACTTCTTGCGTGATCAGTGAAGTCCTGGGTACCCGACAGGAGGCCCGTCGCGCGGCAAGAAGGCAGAGTCAGCGGACGAGTCGCAGCGCGTGCTGTGCGATGTAGGACGTACATGGTACATTCTATTTAACTTGACGCGAAATCACTACAGTACGCGCTGCAACTCGTCCGCTA